TTTCAGTCACTACCCAGAGCTCATGACCATAGGTGAGGGTTGGGACGGAGATGGACCAGGAAATGGAAAGCTTTGGCTTCTGGCTCAGCTCCCTCTGAACCATGATGGTCCGGCGCAGCGCCCACATCACTGCAGAAGCCGCACAAAACCGCTGATCCATCTCACGCTCCATTCTACCCTCACTGTGAACAAAACCCTGAGATACTTGAACTCCCTTGCGAGGCAGTAACTCTCTCCCAAAAACAAGAAAATATCTGTTTTATTAAAAATATCTGTACACGTGTAGACGGGACCTTAATCTACCTTGAGACGGTGCGTCTTGGCAGCGACTCCATTGGCCTGAATCATGGCGATGAAGATGGGGATGTCACCCAGCGGGCTGCCCTTCCCTCCGGCTATACTCACCCCAAGGGAGTCACTGACACCCTGAGGGGGGACAGATGGAGGAAACAAAGACGTTATAGTGAAGACTCTCTTCAGGGGACGCCTGAGAGAAAATGAAGCCTCATTTTCTAACTTCCTACTGAATGGTTCTTAACTCCATGATGGAGGAGAAGCTCCTGGACCAACTGGTGGTACTCCCCATGATCCAGCCTCTTTTTTAGGGTCTCATTTACCCACACAGATCTCTGTTTATCACACACAAAACCCACAACAGCTACAGGAGAAGGCTCCGCCCAGTCACAGCTGCAGACGAGCACATTGCTTACATCATCACAGAGACCTCTCTGTCAGATGAGACCACGACACACCTCCACTGGAGCAGTCAGTCAAACTCAGAAGGTGATGTACGTGTTATATTAAGTGTTAAAGCAGCTGTGCGGAACGTTTTACCATTAATAAAACCGTCCCTAGTTCGTATCACCCCCCCTTGAAGATCCATATATTTATTTGAACCCAACAGAGACAAAAAAGCCTTTCTCTATATGGCTATTTAGCGTAGCGTCGGTCGGGTCGGACACAGCAGAAGTCAGCAAACCAGAATACGACACCCGGAGGCGGAAGTAAGTCTGCACGCCCGCAGCAGCCCACAGCCATTAAACCACAGAAGAAGAAGGAGCCGTGTTTACAAGTAGAATTTAAGAAACAGGCTAAATGACATGTAGTAGGGAGTAGTGAATGATTTCAGACACATTGCACACTCTTGTACAGTAGGTGGTGGTATGCACCTGGAAGTTGTTTACGATCCGCCAATAAATTGAGAGAAGAAGAAGAGCCGTGTTTACAGAGAGTGTTCTTTGAGTAAGCGGTACGCAACGGGCATTGCTGAACACAACAGTTTTACCAGATGTATCTATAAGGGCTTGGTTGTACTTTTGATGTCATGGCGGATAAAGAAGGAGCACCATCTAAAAGAAAAAGAACAGAAGAACAGAAGAAGGCTAAACAGGACAGTGACAGGACTCGAGTCCAAACGCGTGTAAACCTCGGTCGGGCATTCACCAAGTGCAGAGAGCTGAGAGATTTGAAAGGTTTTAAAACTGATCCCGAGTTGGCCCTTTTCCTAATCGACAGTTATGTATTTTTTGTTTTTATTTAGAGAATATACCGCAACTTGTTAGACATTGTTTCACTTCAATATATGACTACATGGATGTTATAAGCAAGCTAAATGTAACGTTAGCTGATGTGAGCCGCTTTTGTCTAGTAACGTTACAACAAACGCCACAAAATTATCTGTGACTGTGACCATGAACACAAACATACAGCAGGCAGTTGTCCTCAGTTTATAAGAAATTAGAGCTACACCAGAACATTTATGATTTTCCTCTCGCTCTCCAAAACAAATGCATGCGGTAAGTGCCGGCTGCAGTTGAGATTTTATGAATGAAGCCGAATGCCGGCTGCAGTCGGAATTTTACGACACCAGGCTGTGGGTGTCATCCCACTTTGACCAAAGGGGGCGCTATAATCAACAAAATCTGCGTACTGTAATTTGAAATCATGACAAGCAACATTTGTGTGCATTCCTTATTTAAACACGAGCATGACGAGCAGTCAGAATCAGGTGTAGATTTTTTTAGCATCTACGAAAAAGATCGGAGCTACTAACATGTTGATGAATGCTGAAATACACGTAAATTTCCTTCTGCCAACAGTTTACACACAAATTCGTTCTCCTCACGTTTCATGAATGAGACCTAGTGTGTGCTCTCTGCTACATATATACATTTACATTTACCCTCATGATCTCCACCGTACGGATGCCAGCATCGACGCCTGCACACACACACACACACACAAAGAAAAAGAGAAAAAATAACATTTAACCAGCCAGAGATTAAAACTGAAGTGTGTCTATAAACATCACATCTTATATCATATTACATTATATAATATTATGGTCTGTAATGCCATGAAAAAACATGCAACACTGACATTTTGGTGAAGCTGCACCTTAAACAAAGTTTTTTTCTGACTTCTTAAAACACACGGAAAACTTATTAGAAAATTAATTGATGAATTAAACAATTAAACTTTTAAAACCAAATTAAAAGACCTTAAAGCAGTGGTTCCCAACTGATGGGTCACGGTCCAAAAGTGGGTCATGGGTTCATTCTGAAGGCACAGAGCTTTTATTTTGAAGGGCCGTTTCCTGCCATAGAGTGAGTGACTAGCTTGACAACATGGTCAAACGCAGGTATGACGCTGAATGTATTAAACTGTGTGGACCTTGAACTAATGACTGAGGAGGAATCTGGACCCTGTGGCTGCACCTGTTGGGAACCGCTGCTTTAAACAGTTGCTGTTGAATAGCATGAGAGCGAGCCATAAATATAAACCTTCATGTGGCCTCAACTGACATGAAAATTCAATCTGGTATACTTTTATTTTAACCCTTTAACACTATTAACTATTTAGAAAACCCATTAGAAACCTGTAATAATCCATTAACTGACCTCACCTCTGGACTCAACTCTTTAATGCCTACAGCACTGCTACCACACAGACACACAGACACACAGACACACACACACACACACACACACACAGTAACTGAACGCTTCAACACACAAACTCAGGCTTAAATGATCCGTAGTAACGTCTCAGCTTTTTTTTAAACAGTTAAAGAAACTCTTAAATCCAAACAGGAAGTGCAGAACTCTTCATATACGACAGCTCCTGATGAGCTCAAACATGCAGGAAGTTGACTCAACCTGTGCTGTTAGAGGAGGAAGTGATGTCACTGCTGGACTTGGTGTTGTTGTTGTTGAGGGGCGCGGGGCTGGTGGAGGTCGGGAGGTCTGAGGTCACGACGTCACATGATGTTGAGGTGTGTTTGAGGGGCGGAGCCACAACACCTGAGCTGTTCCCGCTCACATGACTCATCTGAGACAAAGACAGAGACACGTTCTGTTAATTTGTTGATGTCGTCTGTTTACAAATAAACAGCTTGTTTGTTTTGTCATTTTCTGCGTCACAGTATCTGATTATAAAAACATTTGTGCGCACAAGTTCTTGTTGACTCTGGCATGTTTACAGTGGGAATCACCAGAGGCTCCACGATACGATATTACTGCGACTTTTAACGTGTTGCGATAAAATATATAGCATTATATATTGTGATTTATTACCTGATGTCAGCTGCAAATTATGTTCCTAAAAGAAAACTTTAGAGAAGCCGGCTGATGGTGTCACCTGACACTCAGCTGGTCAAATTACAGGCGGCTGGTTTTAAAGCACGTATTCTGTTTCTGTTTCAACAGCCAATCAGCTAATGACTGCAGACGGTGTGTTGGCGCTGGTTATTTATATTATTGTGGCGTATTGATTATGAATACAGTCCATCTGATGCTGGTTTTGTTTCATCACTGGAGCCAGTATCTCACTATCACTATCCTCATTCAGATTTTAAGAAGCTACAAATTATATTCAGCCACAAAATAAGTCTGAAAAGATGCAAATCAGAACGAAGTACAGAGAGTTGTTGACTAGAGATGAT